AGCTCCTTTGGCCTGTTCAGAGCATGGAGAGTGTGGAGTTGTCTCCCCTCTGGTTGCCTCCTCTCCCTCCTTCTCCTTCAGTGTTGCCAGGGCCTTGTACCTGTTCTCCAGCCGGACTGGAGGAACTAGTACTGCTGCATTACGAGCAGCCCTGGTTCTGGAGGTGACCATCTGCCACTCTGCAGTGGAGGGCACTTCCCGAGGTGCTTCTTCCTTGGGTGTGTGGCCCTGCAGGGAAAGGAAATAGCCGTCAATTTCTTCCTCCACCTCCCTGATTCCCCTCAGCCTGCTAACCTCCTCCTGGAGCTTCCTCACCTGTGCCTCCAGGGTCCTAAGGCGGACGCCTGCAGGACAGGTGTGGGGGTCCCCAATCCCTGCCCCCCCTAGGTCTTGCTGGACAACCCCCGCAGGCCAGGAGGTGGGGGGGCGCCAGCTCCCCCATGGGCTCTGTCTGGGTGGAGGCCTCAGACAAGCCCTGGGTAGGCTGCTCCCCCCAGGCAGGGGCCCTGGCAGCACTCCACGTCAACACCATCATAGGAGTTGCTGCTTGTTTTTAGCTTAGTGCAGTGCCTTCGCCCTGCCCTAGTAGGAGTCTGCCTCCTGGCCTTTCCTGCTCGCCCACCGGCATAAACGCCGACACAAATGGCGTTCATAGACAGAAAGAGGCAGTTACCTTTCACCTGTGTTAATCATGGAACCAAAAGTGATAATTTAATGTCCAACAATAGGAAAAATGGATGAGTCAAAAAGTTTAACATCCTATAGTAGCCACCTGAATTCAACAAAAGGCAATGGCTTGCTTTGTGAATCTATTAAGAGTCCATTTGCAGTTCATGCCAAATTGTCAAGAGTGATTGCACGATGCAAATAATGACTTACCGGGAGTTTGAAAACTCATTCAAGACCATTGTCAAGAAACTAATAAAAGCACTTTGAAGGTATTTCAGCTTGTAAATAGTGTGTGGCCCAGATTTCACAGCTTCTTGCACAACAGAAAATTGTATTGTTATGGAAGAGCTGTATACTATCCCTGCTTATCCCACTATAATTCCACATGCTAAATAACATAGATAGGAGAACAGCTGTCTATGAATGGGCATTCAGGTTTTGTCTTTCCTGCTCATTGCTGAATGCTTTGTTCCAATGGAAAATTTCTGCTTCCTGCACTCCAGGGTGTTTGGACACACTGCTTAAATGTAAACAGCACACAGCAGCAATGCAAATTGCTATTGTCAATTGTCAGTGGGCTCTGAAATCTCTTTACCGTTCTTTTGACATCACCATTGATTTCCTTCATCCATCTCCACGATCAGTTGTTCTGGTTCAGAAAATAGATCACTTTATAGCTGTTTTGATGAGCTCTAGCATTATTATTATCCTGGAGGTCAGGACTGAAGAGTGGCTGTTTCATTCAAGCAGAAATGGTGAATATATATATATCATCAGCAAGGTCCCAATAAGAGTATTTATATTTATTCTCATCCCATTTTTCTCTGAAAATACTTTTATTTATATGCAAAGAGGAACAAGGATCATTCTTTTTTTTTTTTCCACCAAGAAATGTCAGCGTTTTCCAAGATGCCTGAAATTAGCCATTTACAAAAGTTAGTTTTTCAACAAGCCTTATTTTCAGCTGGTCTCCCACCTCTCACTGACTGTTGTAAGGCATAAAATGGATACAGTTCAGGCAGCCAAATGTCAAAGCTTTAACTTACGGTTTGTTGTGCTTCAGTCTTGATGAAGAAGGAACCTCCTAGGGCAGTCAGGAAGTGGACGTGTCTCCATTCCATTCAGCACTGCCTCTCTGAAAGGTGCAATTTCAGAGTCAAAGAAGTGTAGGACTGGAACAGACCTCAGGAAATCATCTAGTCAAACCCTGCTGCACTGAGACAGGGTGATAGAAGCCGGACTCGAGGGGATTGCCTTCAGACCTCAGGTTGGGGAGGACCGGGTTAGAGAGCTTCTGGAGGGGCTGGACGCGTTCAAGTCAGCGGGTCCGGATGATCTCCACCCCAGGGTGTTGAGGGAGCTAGCTGGGGTTATTGCGGGGCCCCTGGCACGGCTCTATGAGCGATCGTGGTGCTTGGGCCAGGTGCCAGATGATTGGA